GTTAAGATTAGAATCATGATAAACATGAAATTGTATGTAGTTATCTGATCCTAATTGATATGTTGTACAAATACATATCCAAGCATAGTGAGGCATCGAAATATTTGTTTTCGTTGTTTTAAAACATACGATAAAGTTGGTCAACTGTTCAGCAAATATTACGCTCTTTGCCACTCATTTATAATAAGATTACATATTTCTTGCTGCTTGAGTTTTTTCCGCTATTTTATTTATGATTAGATCTAGTAGACCTCGGGAACGTTGCTACTTTGTGTATTTTTTCACTTGTTTTGCGAGCGCATGTAACAGGGGCGCTATCCATCGTTGGTCATGATATGGGCAAACATGTTTTCAGGCTTCAGCTGATTTCTTATTCTGAGGCCGGCCACATTTGACAGTCTACATATTTTATAATATTCATCCAAGCAAATACGTCAGACCAACCGACTGAACTATGGCGTTCTCCACTGTTTTTAGTTATCATGATCCTTGCAAACTTACCTTCCCTGACGGAATTCTCTAAGTTCCACCCGATCCATGGAAACTTTTAATTGCTTGCTCTTTACTTTTTAGGCAGTGCACCGTAAACCGAGAAACGTACGCGGCATTGTTCCGGAGATAAAACCAAAAGTAAAAAGTACATCAGGGAATTTAATAATTTGGGGCACCGGAACGTAAACAGTTCTTCCGGAATTGCTTATATCCCAGTTTCTTCCACCTTTACAACCTGAGTTTCTTTATTTTATTTAAGAATAACAGTACAATTATAATAATAATAATATAATAATAATTTATTTGTCAAATTCAATTATGCAAATATAAATTTTCAAAGACTGTTGCCACAAAGGAGTATCAATGACAAATAAAAGTAATGCCACGAAAGAAAAATCTTGTGTGTGGCCATCCCATTATTGTCAGTTGTCTATCCGCAGATATAAATAAAGTCTATCAAGTACTTGCTAATGCACTATGCACTTCTTACGCACGCACTGACATAATTTGGTGTTACACGATCACTGGTAGAAATGCGAAAACCTTGAACTGACATTGTGGCACTTTAACTAAATTCAATAATAAATAACATAAATCAAAAGGCTAATCTAAAAAAGAGTACATCTAAGATAAAGGACAATAAAAACTAAAATGACATTACAAAACTGGTAGTTGCATTTGTGTTGTGAGCAATAAAGTCAAGGATATATCAAGCATAGAATAGAATAAAATTAAATGCCCATCATACATCAGATACGGTATAAGCATATAAGTGACTACAATAAAATATAATAAAATCTAATAAAATATAATAACGTACAATAAAATATGATAAAATAATAAATTAATAGAATGGAGCAATTATTCTAAAAACGGTGACTTCATTTGGGTTGTGAGAGTGACATATATAGTGTTTTGCCTTCTATATAATCATGTATTATGCTCCTGGATATACCTTTCTCCCAAACTGAGATTTTTTTTTGAATAAAGCAATGTTTCGTATTAACTTATAATCAGCAGGCATTTCGTTGTACAATTTGGGGCAGAGATAAATCCAGGAGCGTTGCAATAATGACTTTTCCGGCCTAGGTACCATTATGTGCAACTTTCTGGCGTGTGTCATATTTGTGAGCGATTTCCTCATGAAATGATTTATTTTTAAAGTAGTATACCATGCAATTATAAATAACTGTTTGCCTAATGTCCATAATTCCAGACTCATGGTATAGCTCATCAGATGGATGAGTTTTGCTCTTGCTATAAAGAATTTTTAATAAATATTTTTGGGCAATCTCCAAGTTCTTTATGTAAGTGAAGCCAGCTCCTCCCCAGCCAAGTATTCCATAGCATGCGATGTATAATACTGAAAATTACTTGGTGGTTATATAGCGCATGTTCAGAATAGCTGAATAAAATTTCCTTTGCCACTAACCAAAGAAATCAACATTATTGGCCGCAACCCACGAAGTAGATTTTCTCTACATTGTTAAATTGTGATGAGAGGTCTCCAGCTATTGTCGTTCAAAATTATATCTTGCTAACATCCGGAAACATTTCAAGCGAAGAGGGAAATTACTAATGCTAGATCGTCATGTATGGAAGACGGCTTACAATGTACATACAGCCTATTTCACTAGTATGGTTTTGACGTCTACTGAACTGAACAATGTATCAGCAAGTGACATCTTTATATCAGTCTGTAACGTTGGCAATATGAACCGGCAGTAAATCTGGTAAAACTCAAGACCCTATTCAGAGCTGTTGTTCACATAATATGTAGATACTTTTAGTGACTGGAACTGGGACAATAAGATATTCGAAGTACACATAGAAAAATGTTTATTAGAAAAGCATTATAGTACATCTGGAGTAAAATCAGTATGACGTAATTTAAACACAAGTCAAGCATACGCACCTCTCACAAAAATTAATAATGAATACAGCTTGATTTAAACACTGATGTAGATAAATTAATCTTGCACGTTACCTGATTCTACATTATTCATTTGGCCATCTGAAATCTCTCGTAGAAGAAAAATTGCGTTTGATATGTTTTAAGATTTCACTGCTGTTCCAAAAAATATAAACTACATTCATTATTTTCTTGCCATAAGCGCTATCAGCTTCCAAGCGACGTTTTCGTTTTCGCTGGATTTTTGCAGTGATCTTAACAGTTGTCCTGAGTAATGTTATGACCTAATTTAGGGAATTGAATCTCTATCAAGTCGGTCATAAACTGCCGAATATTTCTAATCAATTGTATGGCTGTTTAATTGCCATTTAGAGTCATAAGGTGTATCAAGTTCTAAAAAGTATAGATGATTAGCATATCCAAAAGCTGTTCACCTCATTTTTTTCCTACCTGACTTCAAATGTAGTCATGAACATAATGAGCCATTTTGCTTGTAGCGTTTTGTTTTGATTGCGAAGGAAATTTTACAAATAAAACTTGTTCATGTACAAAATGAATCTGTAGCCTACAAAAAACACAACAAAATATGGCTCTGTCTACCTGGTGTTGGCGGATCTATCAGAACTGTGTGTCACTTGTCGATATGGAGAATTTTGAAAAATTACTATACTATTTATTTCTGCCGTAATGGATACTCGAGAAAAAGACAGCATTAACAAACGATAGTTATTCCCGGCTGTTCCAAAGTATTTGTAGAATAAATATGAAACGTCGTGTTTGTTAATTTGAATGTTGGACGTGTTGGGTGAAAGAAAATATACACTGAAAATATTTAATCTTATGATACCAAATGTAATCAGATACAGAGTGTTCCGAGGAAATGGACATAGTGAATTGGTAGGTAGTATGAACAACGACCTATCAAAATCTGAAAATAACAAAGTTCTAAGTTCATTTTTTACAGATATATAAATTGATTTATCTTAACATGACAAATTTTCAACATCCCATATCTTAGGCACATTCAACCAGCTTTTGATGAAATTTTGACAATAGCAATGTTACCTAGAGGTAAGGTTAAACTAGCCGGACGCTTAAAAGTGCTGGGCCTGACTTGAATATTTAACTTTACTCTTTTGCTTTCTTGTGAAATTTTCATTTTTCAAATTTCTTATTTTTGTCAGCTTATATGACAAAGCGTTAGTAGCTTGACCTCATCAAGATTTTACAAAATAATGCTTAAAATTGAACTGAAGGTGTTTTGGGAACTCAAACATCCAGTGCCGGATTCAGTTTCTTTTATTTCTTTCTGTGCCATGTTACGTAGATCCTGAATTTAGTATTTCACAAATAACTACGATAAAGTATATAAAGGCAAACTTAATGTTAGGCACCGTTTTCTGTATTTTTTCTAATGATATAATTGTGTACAGCATGCGCTTTGTTTAAAAGAAAAACGTTTTATCTACCTGCATGTGAATTATGTAACTAATTCTAGTGTAATGTTTTGGTGAGAACAGGTTAAACGTGACTGTTTCCGCCAACAACTCAATATAAAATGAAATTGCCTTTAGAAATGTTGGGAAATCTCGAAACTGGCGATACTACAGACCAATATCTAAATTGACCTAAACATACCTTGGACCAAAAGTTGATAGTTTGCGAGATACAGGGTGTCAAGGTTAGAATTTCGTTTTCTATTTTTCCTTATTGCTAAAGAATTATATCAGACTTTGGTATAAAACTCGGTATATAGAGGCTTCTAGTATGCGAAACAAGAATCTGTTATTTTTATGGCCAACCTTCTAGAGGGCGCCACTTACAGCACTATTTCGGTAAATAACATAACTTTTTGTGCTACCCTGTATACAGCAACTGACCGAACAATTTTATTTTCTCGTATTTTCACAACAAAACAGGTTCACTTATTAGAAGTGTCTAAAGCAGAGTTCCCCAAACTTTTTTGTGTCGTAGACCCCTAGCCATGTTTTTCCGTGTTGGGTAGACCCCCTACTTACCTGATATTGATTTCCTGTAAATTTCTAACTGTAGTGAAGTTTAGTGTTAAAAACTTAAAGTAAAAACACATGTTAATTTATACATTTATTAATTGAATTTAAATTAAAACTACTCAAAATAAAATTTTGTATCTGTTATGTGAAATATACGTAACATTAAATAAACAGAGGTGTCTGACCAATAAGTTCCCGCATTGGGAATAATTGCCCGCATTGAAAAAATAAGAGGGATAAAATAAAGAAAAAGTGAAAAATAATAAAAAAAAAGTGTTTACTTAAGATAGTACAATAAGCGAGTTCGTTTATTAATTATAACATAAACGTATGTTCTACAATAATTTCACTGTTAGTTTGATTAAATTCCGCTTCTTATACGTTTAAGCTATCTAAAAATAGGCAAAAAATTAAAGAATTTTAGTGTGTACCTATCCTTGAATTTTCAGAATAATTTAAAAAAAATATTTTCTTTAAAAAAATTAATGCGGGCACTTATTCCCAATGCGGGCATTTATTGGTCAGACACCAGTAAACATAAAATAAACTATAAATAAAATAACATAAGCAATAAGTCAATATTTTTAGTGAGAAGGATGAACCTGATGCTTTAATAATAAATTATCAACATTTGGCGTCAATTTTGTAAGGGTTAATCTTAAATCTCCTCGGCTAATGATGTCCAGCCTGTTTCTTTTTTTCGTTAGGAGATTGATAACAGCGCTGAACCCCCTTTCCACTAGGTATGACGATGGAAAGGAAATTAAAAATTTCCTCGCTATATTCTATAATACGGGATAAGTAACGGGTATGTTGTTTTTCAGCCAGAATTGCTGATATCCGTTTTTAAACTGAACCTTAAGTTCTTCGTTTGTACTTAGTTCAGTCAGTTCCTCTTGTATTATGTCATTCGCTTCTTCTATGTCACCATATGGATTAATTATCCATGGTGGTATTACCATAGTCAAAATATCCTCAAACCTAGATTCAAAATCTGAATAGAGGGCATTTAAATGTTGAACGTAAGTTGAAACGTCGTCTTCCTGGCAGCTTGTCTGTGACAAATTGGGGAACTGAGAAAATTCGCCCCGTCCAATATTTTGCTTCATTAGTTTAACTCTGGCAAGAAACGCTGATAAGATGGACTTTGTTTTAATCAAATTTAAACTGTCGCCTTGTAATTGCAAATTTTAACCATATTAAATTTTGTAAACAAATCTGTTAAATAGGCGGTCTGTTTTCCTCTTCATTAAATTTTCTTTAAAAATTTTATCTTTGGATGACGCAATGTATTGCTAACACCCCTGACAGATTTTGTTTTAAATAGCTTATAAATCCACGATAACGTCCAACCATGGCAGGTGCTCCATCTGTAGCTACTGATATTATATTTGATAAAGGAATTGCTTTTTCAATGAAGTAATCCTTCAAAACATGAAATATTAATTCACCTTTAGTGTCGGTTATCAAAGTTCTTGCGAACAGCAGTTCTTCGTAGATTTCTTGATTCATAATAAAACGAACATATGCCAATAATTACGCTGCATTATCAGGTAAAGTTGAATCGTCCAGTTGTATAGAGAAATGGGTCGTTTGCAAATAATTACATAAGAACCTTTCAATATCAGAAGTCGTTTCATCAATACGTCTTTCAACAGTATTGTTGCTTAAGGGAATTCTTTTATTGATATCAGATGCAGGTTTGTGTAGAACAGTTTTTAAAACCTCATCAACGGCTGGCAAAATTAACTTCTCTCCGATAGTATGCGGTTTTCCGGATTTTGCTATAAGTAACGAGATATTGTAAGACGCCCGCAAACCATCATCATTTCTTTGTGGCGTCGAAGCGAACTCTGTCCAGTGTAGGTCTCTTCTGAAATTTATCTTCGAGTGTCTGAAAGTATTTCAAATCTTTCTCTGTTTTATCAGGGTGGCATCTTCTCAGATGATCTTGCAGTTTAGATGGTTTCATAGCATCATTGCCCAAAGCTTTGTTGCATAAAAGGCACATAGGCGATTGTTTGTCCGGCAATGATGGAATGAAGCCAAATTTCAAATAATCAACACTGTACTGTCTACATTTCTTTTTAGATTCGGACATGGCATCAGTCATCTGTGGGCAAAATTAAATTATTTAAATAAGACAGAAAATCCAGCAGCTGTATGTTAAAAATATTTTTTGATTCTTCCGAAAACATTCCATAATTATATTACCGATTGCTAAAACTCTCAAAAATAAACTATTGAGGAGTACTCGTGTAATTTTGCATGATTGAATATTTAACTACTAATAACTAAAGTCATGATTGGCGTAATTTATCTATCTTTGCTAACTACGAGTACAAAACTAAAATTTAATAAAAAATAATGTACTTACTTTTCTCCAGCACTCTCAAGCAAAATAACACTGATTCACTATAATTTGTGTGATATACTATCTGTTTATATTTTTTTAAATATTTTCCTAGTACTTTCCTTTTCAAGATTCAGGAAACGAATAAACGTATTTGTCCCACATTCGTATTCATAGAGTGACGAATTGAACAAGTCAGTGCAAGGTAGCGAAGCTCTGAGACTGCGACTCTCAGGTTTTTACAAGTTCAAAATGTATTGCGACCACAAAGCGAATACCAACATCCTACAACTTACACAATTTTATAAACATATATAATAAATTTTTTACTTCATAGGTACCTTTATAAATAATGTATATGTTTTGATATTATAATATAGTATGATGTAATTAAATAGGTACTATCAGTGTATGTGTTGAGATCCATTATCGTGGACCCCCATATTCATTTCATGGACCCCCAAATTTTTTTTCGCTGACGTAGACCCCTTGCAGGTTATCATAGACCCCTAGGGGTCGATATAGACCACTGGGAATCAATGGTCTAAAGCTAATAGTTTTCAAGATATTTGTTTTTAAAGGTTCTAATGCATTATTTGTAACATGATGATAAAACATTTTCATAACATAATAATCAAGTTGCTTTGGATAATATCTGAGTAGCGTCGCTATGGTTTCTAGTGTTTGTCATAATATTATTGCTTTAAACTTCATGAATAATTTTAAGTTGACAATAAGTTGTTAAACATCATGAATATAACATTTTTAATGTACGGATTGGCAAGATGAAATGCTTTAAAAACAAATACCTCGAAAACTATTAGCTTTAGACAATTCTAAGAAGTATACCTGTTGTGGAAATACGAGAAAATAAGATTTTTCGGTCAGTTGTTGTATACAGGGTAGCACAAAAAAGTTATGATAAGTCATTTACCGACATAGTGCTGTAAGTGGTGCGCTCTAGAAGCTTAGAAGTTTGGGCATAAAAAATAACGGATTCTTGTTTCTCATAACAGAAAACTCCCCTGTACCGACGAAAAATAGAAAATAAAATTGTAACTTTGACAGCATGTATCTCGCAAACTATCAACTTTTGAACTGAGGTATGTTTAGGTTAATTCACATATTTTGGTCTGTAGTATCTCCAGTTTCGAGATTTCCCAACTATACGCAGTATATTGCGAAACTGAAGAATTAACATAGACTGTAGTATTGAATCTACTTACCAGCTGGGTTTTTTGATAGCCGCTTCATCTTGAGAGGTATTACGTTCAAATTAAGCCGAAAAAACGTGGTGGAAAATTAGGAATATGCTGGAATATATAAACCTGAACTGGAGCAGACTCTTATGCAGTCGATCCAAAAGCAGATTCAATACCGCAACTTATTGGCGCCGATATTATTCCGTTGATGACAACACCGAAAAATTTTCGTCCACCCCTTTTCCGTGATCGAATTCATTCTCTCTTGAGTTTCATAAAAAAAAATAACAAAAAGCCGAAGGGTAGCTTCGGTTCATAATCCGGAAAAATCGTTAGACAACCAACACCACAAATCGTTGAAAGTATTGCCAAAACAGTAACTATGCTGAAAGTGCGAAAGTCCGAAATTAAACAGCGTCCTACGTAGACTGCAACGATAGATTCATAAAGTTCGCGTTGGGCAATTATGAAACTTGGAGTTACAGTATAACTGATGTGAGGAATTTGGCTGAAATATTTTCAAAAAGATCATTTCCGGTTATATTCGTATATACCAAATTTAGTTTAAAAGATTATAAATGCAGGCCCATAAATGCCTATCAATCTTTATTATATTTTTGTCTTTGTCAAACGGCTTGTAACTGCTTCCTTATAGAAGACCTCATTCGATATTTTGATAAATAATTAGTTATACAAAGTGGTAAAAAAATCCGATGATAATTAAATTGTAGAACATCCCACAGGCAATTTTTTTGAGCAGAAACCATGTGTTTTAATAATTTCATCTTGTTAAATAACAAACATAGATCTAGAAATTAGAATATTTGATATAAGTATAAAAAGTGTAAACACCAAAAGAGGCGCAACTAATCTAGTTTGTAATCAACGAGCACCGTTGATTGGCTTTTTTGCCCGTTCTCAAATATTCCAATATTCAGCTAAATGGTGCTGACTTTCATAAAATACAAGAAAGTTAAAAAAACGAGTTCAAAACTAAATGTTTGTATCGCCTGTCTAGTTTTACGTTACTTTCCGACAACTTTGTTCATTTGTGAGATTCTATCAATCCAGTTAAATACTGATACATGTGACAATGAATTATAGTACTTATCTACTGTTTCACTATGTCCATTTCCTCACGGAACACGCTGTAGTGAAAGCATTCAAGTTCAACCTATAGGACTATCATGTTTCGTTACAGCTTACGTTGGAAAAGGTCTCATTTACAGTATTTTATGTAATACGTCAGTATTTATCATGGTATGTGATATTTATTGGGACATCAGTAATTATTGATATATAAGGTTACGTAGAAATCGACTGACACTGACGGAAGGATCGGTAGATAGTGATGGTACGGACTTATACCGAAGGTGTGAGATTAGCCCTACAGTTGAAGAAGATGGATCATTGAAACAACGACGGGGTTAAATTTTAGGCAGGTGAACAGCAGAATTGCGGCATGGCACTTTTGTCAAAAAAACGCAGTCTCCATCTGAAAAATATCATCACCTCTTAGGAATAGAACACAAAAGAAATAATATTTTTCGCCTAGTTGACTGGGATTGTTGGAAGTCTTTCGACTGAGACGGGGCTGGAAACTTCAGCAGCGAACTTTCGGCAAATAATCTAATTTGTCAACTTCTATTCCTTTACCTAGTTAATTATCCTTTTCCGTAGAACACTTCCTTGAAACTTCATAAGACTGTCTGAGAAAACAGACACTGTAAAATAGATCAAGGTACGAGCAGAGGCATGAGCTGCTGAGTTGCAATATATTCAATCCATCGCATCGTAACCTGTAGAGTCAACTCACATAATACGAGTAAGCTTATCTTAGCTCTTAGCTTGAACGAGGAGGATCGTTAAGCACCTACGAGAAAGGCAAAAAACGAGGTCACGGGACCCAAATCGTGGTCCTTTGGCCGCCATATTTAAAAATGGCCGCCAAGCTGTTCAACAACATGTATTTGTGATCACTAGACTAAAAGCTCATTTTACTTTTTTTATAATAATAATAATAATAATAATAATCGTCTTTTTTTAAACTGTACTTCATACAGAAACAAGAGTTGCATATGGTGGCGAAGTTTAGCAACATGCTACTCTTACACTTAACCACCCATGCAAAAAAAAACAAGTTGTTAAGTAGCAGATATCAAACAAAATATGCATATATACATACATACATATACACACATTACATACGTACATGTTGCACCAAACTTCGCTACATGTACACAAGGGAAGTGAAGAATCATTTATTTAACAATATATCTATAGCAATCTAATTAAGACTATGGATCCAAGTAAATATGAGATTTGACAGCTTTCTTGAAGCAATTTAAGGACATGGTTTTGAATTCAGAACTCAAGGCATTGTATAACACTGAAGCCCTGTACGTGAAAGAACGCTGGAATAAAGTTGTGGAGTGAATAGGTGTAGTTATCAAATCTGGAAATCTAATATGTCTATGATGAATATTTCGCCTAAAGATCAGCTTTTCTCTTAAGTATATAGGTTTTGACATAAGTATTAGTTTATGAATAAAAACAAGGTAATGATATTTGACAATATTTTTTGTTATCATCCAGTTTAATTCAATAAGACTACCAGAAACATGGTCAAAGCGCCTTAAACCGCAGATGAACCTAGCACAATTGTTTTGCACAATTTGAATCCGATTTCTAGTAACAACATTGAGACACAGATAATATAAAATATCACAGTAGTTGAAAATCGGCATAACCAAAGATGAACACAGTTTTTTCCTTAGCTTATAATTGAAAATTGCTTTATTGGCATATAATGATCTCAGTCTCAAGTAGGTTTTCTTCAAAAGATTTTTAACATGACTGGTGAATCTAAGTTTGAAATCGATTACCACGCCAAGAATTTTAACCTCGTCAACCGGGTACAGTCTTTGAGATCCAATTTTAATAGTTAATCGACTTTTAATTTCTTCTCTCCTACGATCCGAACAAAAAAATAACAGGCTGGATTTACCAGGATTTATTGACAGGTTGTCGTTATTCGAGAAGTCATACACTTTTTGAATATCATGGTTTATTGATGTCTGTGGCATTTCCATATCATCAGTATCAAAATAATGGACCAGTTGAGTATCATCCGCAAAAGACTGGAGTTCACAAAAACTCACAGCCTTAGGCAGATCAGCAATATATATCAAAAACAACAAGGGACCCAAAACAGACCCCTGGGGTACTCCAGACGAGATTTCTAGAAAACTAGATTTAATGTTTTCAATTGATACACACTGTGATCGATTTGATATATAATTTCGAAAAAAATTCAATGCAATTGGATCTATGCCATAATACTTCAACTTTGCTATTAACAACTCATGATTTATTTGTCAAATGCCTTGGAATAATCGATTGACATCACTGCTACGCCCATTTTTTTATCAAGTGCTCTAATAATATTATCCACTAAGTTTAAGAGGGAAGTAGTAGTACTGAAAGATTTCCTAAAAGCAGACTGATCAGATGGGATGATATGTTCCTCTGCATAATGCATTAGTTGTATGTGGGCTGCCTTTTCAACTACCTTCGATAAACAAGGCAACAGGCTTATAGGCCTTAGATCAGCAAATTCATCTGGATTTGATTTTTTTGGAACTGGTACCACAATTGCTCGCTTCCACGTTTCAGGGAAATAACCTCTTTCAAGGCAACTATTAACAAGGTGGGTGATGTAGATGAGAGTAACAGGCAGACTGAGCTTAATCATAGACAAGCTCAACCCATCAGTACCTTTTGCATCGAACTTAAAACTAGAAATTATTTCAGCTACTTCATGAGGCTCTAGAAGCCTGAAAGAAAATTTATTAATATGGGGAACATTTTCGTTATAATACCTTAAAACGTGATCAGGAGCATTTGTGGAATCAAAAACTGATATGAAATAATTATTTGCAAGGAAAGAGTCTGCAAGATGGTTTGGAATACGTGGCTTATCAGATGTTTGTGCTTTCATATTTTTCAATTCAAACCACATTTTTTTCTGATCACGCCCTTTTTCCAAGTGAGCAAGATACGCCATTTTTTCATGTCTAATGCACGATAGTGCAAGGTTTCTAAGTTCCCTAAAAACCTGCAATCTTGCTGGACTTCTGTCTATCTTGTATAAATAATATGCTCTCGTTTTTTGCTTCAGAAGCTGTCTCAACGGATATGACAACCACGGCGCTTTCGGCTTACTCACGCGTACCGTCCTTATAGGAGAGTGACGATTGAAGATGTCAATTAACTTGCTACTGAAAAATTGAACTTTATCATCAATATTCCTCATATAACAAATTTCAATAAAATTTACTCTAGCCAGGTCATCAATGAAAGATTGCTCATCAAAGTGTGAGAAATCTCTGAAGGTGATCATTTTTTGTTCATGTTTCACACGGGATATGTTTAAGATACAGCAAACAATTTTATGATCGGACAACAAATTAGCATCTAAAGTAAACCAGTTAGTGACAGTAATTGGGGTATTAATAAAAATAGGGTCCAGAAGAGTTGCTGTACTATTAGTTACTCTAGTGGGAGCATCAATAATTTGCTTGAAACCATACATATCAAGGCATTGTTGTAAGCTATTATCGGCAAATAAATTTACATTTAAATCACCAAGGATAATAATATTTTTAAAATTACTCAGTACATTAGGCATTATATTGTCTAAGGCATTTGTACAATCAACTAGCCTTTGTGAAGGGGGACGATACAATATACCTACAGCAAAATCATGCTGATCAATCCTTAATTTTACCCATAGCTGCTCTAAAAACGGAACTGTGTTGAGCGTGACGTCATCATCAATAATCTCAGCACGTATGTCTTGTCTAATATAAACACCACAACCACCACCACGAGACAACCTGTCCTTGCGAAAAAAGTTAAAATTTCTGATGTTAACTACATCCATTGTGATATCAGGGCTTAACCATATTTCCGTTAGAGCAAGAATGTCAAAATCATCCTCATTCATCATGTCCGTAAATGCGTCAAAGCTTGACATCAGAGATCTTATATTTAGGTGACCTATTTTGCACTTCTTCGTAATACTAACAGGTTCCATATGGATTCAGGAGTATTAACAAAAATAATAAAAAGTTAAAAATTAAGGAAATATATGTACAAAAGAAGAGTCGTTCAACTAGAGTTGCTAATCAAAGTTAATTCTATTTTTCAAATTGCGCACATAATTTATATAAGCCGGACAATGAGAATCATTTGCAGCATGATTAACTTGGACGTGTGACTTAGACTTAGAACCATAACTTACACAATTTATACATTTCACCTGGTCACTTGCGACCTCGCACTGATTTGCCATATGATCTCTTGAGCATTTGATGCATGCAGAGGTAGACGATTTGCATTGCTTAGCAATATGCGCGAACTTACAGCATCTGAAGCACTGGGTTATCCGCAGATGATCAACAATGGGACACTTTCTCCAACCCAACCAGACATAGCCTCGTGTTAGAAGCTTCTTGCGTAAATCAGGGGATACTTCCAGAACTATTTGACGAGTTCTTTCAATTTTGGTGATAACTTTTAAATCCGCATGATCATCCATGTCATTCAATCCCACGATGTTCTCAATTAACATCTTGTCATCCTTGATATCATCAGAGAAATTCACATTTTTTACTAGCAGACGGGGGTTGTATTTTTTCAACTCGTTGGCAGTCAAACGGCCATTTAGTTGACCATTGACAGCATTTTTTAGTTTTGCCACATCGTCATCTCCCTTGCAGTACACAGCAACCCCTTCTTTAATTTTCTTAGAGCCGCTAATGCATATATTTAAACGAGAAGGAATAATCGTTTTTGACAAGACTTGTAGCACATCATCTCTATTATTCCTATCAGCTGATTTCACTAGTAAAACAGACGATTCTACATTTTTCTCATTCTTTACATTTTTCTGTAATACCTGACTATACGTGTTCGTGCTAGCAATATTTTTTACTGGAGCAATAGCACTTTTTGCCTCACTGAGCTCTTTTTGTAACGTACCGGATTTGAATTTATGTAACTCCAAGGAAGACTCGAGTTCACTAATTAATTTAGCCTGGATATCTTTCTCTCTATTAAGACATTCGATTTCTTTTTGCAGTATCAACATATGCGAATTTCTGTCACTATTAACATCCAGCTGCGATTTAGTGACGCTAGAGTTTCCTACTTGTTTGCAGTTATCACAAAACCAGATCAAATTATCAAACTCACACAGATACTTGCAGATTAGATCCTTCAACCCAACACACACAGGATGGAATGATTTCACACACAGCTTGCACTTTATTACTTTGCTGTTAACAATGAAATTATCAGCACATATCACACATACGTCCACATCGTCTGCCATCTCGACGTGGAATGAAGGCAAAATATTGTGTCATTATTTATTTTTCAAATAATACGGGAATTATGGAGATGTAGGCTTCGAAGAAGTACTTTACGACTTGGTAGCTGTTTCTAAATATAGCTTATGGCCACAATTTGGATCACGAGTTATTTTTTGCCAAATACTCCTGAATACATTTTGCCTACATGCCTACTTCGATTTTGTGGCATATTAGCGAAAACTGTCTTCAATATCAGTAAATGCAAGACTTTTAGCTGCTCGAACTTTAACATTGACAAATTGACCATAGATGAATATACGTAATTTAGGTGTTTTACTCTTTGCACTAATTCTGCTATTATTCCAGAAAAACTACTCCAAAATCTGAAACATGTTAGCAACTACACTCTGGAATTTTGGCAGTCCGCGTTATAATTTACCTTGTCCAGGCTTTATTAGTTTGAGTTTCTGTTGCGTAAGATATGTAAGTTCTAAGCATATTTCGGAATAAATCTTAGCTCGATTGCATCTGCTCAAAACGCCAAAACAGCAATCTTGAGCTTTTAAAAATCGTAGAATCTGCACTGAATCAAAATGATCAAAATGACCCCTTGAATAGGACTTCATTATTTGGCCGAATCATACCACATACATGTTTTATTCTATTAGACAATAAACAGTGATTAAGAAAAGTCTTAATAGCATAGTTAAACCATATAAAGATATGGTTTAACTATGCTAGACAATGGATTTAAGAAGTTGACATCAGAGATTAACTAGAGCGACGATTCAAATAAAGTTGTCACTATAAATACCTCTCCAGCTCACCGAAACTGCATTAGCTTTCATTTCGACAAAGCGTGTGACATACATTCACACATTGAAAAGTGTGCAAAATTCCGGGTGTTTCCTTCATGACAAAAGAATACATAAATATTTGAGCTCAAGGCATCCTAGGAATGGATGTCGCTTTCATGGGAGAACCGTAGATAATGGGTGAGGTAGCTATAAACGACCGAAATTTGTTATGGGCTATTAAAAATGGTCTAGTTATCGTTTATATGTGTTGTACCTAGAGCTGTGCAAAGTCTCACTCCAAAACAAGTCTTTAGACAGGAATACGTTTACGACCGCTTTAGTTGAATATGTACTTTGATAAATCAATATCAATAATAAAGAGTCTTCACTGCACTAAGCGTTGTATCGGTTTAAATTGCGGGGGGGGGATTTAATATTAGTATTTATTAGAAAGGGAGAATTAATGAAAATTAAACAGTCAATAAACCACGCCTTAGAAAAACTTAAGCACATGTCGAGTCCAATTAATAATAAGGGACCTTCATGCCAACAGAGATAATACTCAATTTTGTTAAATGCGTAATTTTTAAATCTTCAAAAACACTGTGCAATATGAATGGGATGGTTAATATAAACCGATTAGTGACGATGACAAAAAATAAAGATACTAGCCATTTCTTATAGCCCCTGAGTCAGAATATGTGTGGACATGATCATATTCCTCAACTACTACTACGATGTTTTGAATTATTTGTAGACGCCCTCTATTCGTCGTAGCAGTGAGGAACGGATAACAAAGCACTAACCCCTACAACATTTTAGACATTACCAAGCTTTCGCATAGCTGATTTTTCATAAGCTTACTAGTGATGCAATTCTATGCAAATAAAAGACGAAGTGCTATGAATCACTGCCTCAAAAAATTTATAGTACGTTACTTGCGGTATGCTTCTTAATTTCTTTGTCGTATAGTTCCACAGCACCATATCAAAGAAGGAGGGAAGAAAATTACATCCGCTCAAAGGTTCCAGAATGAAGTAAGACGTTCGTAGCAGGGCATTCATTGGGATGTGAGTATCCCTCTGGTTCTCGAAGAGAACAGCATAGAGGTGGCCGAGTTCTTAAAAGGCTGCCGCCAGTATTAGTATTAGTGTATAAGAAGACACAGGAAAATCAGCAGTTGACGATACTGATTATATTTAATATTGTTAAGCTTTACACGCGCCAGCTCGCTTGCTTACGAACAGATATCCCACATTCGCGGTGTATTCCTATCGGCCGAAGTGGATATGTTATTGATCATAAAAGCTAGTTAGGCTGACATGTGAAGGCATTCTCGCTTCTTGGGGGCACCTCTTGCCATTCTACCCTGCGCTCTACAGTTCCAATTGGAGTGAGTATAGCCTTTATATTCAGTAGAGTTTATTTGACAATACTTCCGTGTTTTATCGTTAACAGCCCTTTGCAGCGCCAAGCGAAAGTGCTCTTCCTGGAGCAGAACTAACCCTAAGTCACGGTTGCGATAATATTCGGATGGCAATGAAACTCAAAATTGTATTGCACATCTAGGATTGATGTTCTGTAAGCAGTTAGTTAGTGGGTGATATATTTTGCAATATCTTCAATTTGCTCTAAGCATCGAATAAACTTTATTTGACAAACAGAAGATTATAAATCGGTGAAACCATATATACTAAGTGAAATATAAATCCGAACACCCAGTTTAAATGGTTTTATTTCAATAAAATTTTGTATAAGTACTTAATGAAGCATAATAAGTAAATGATAAAAATTTCAAAGTGATTGCACTGCTTTAAAGCCCTTTGACCTTTAATAATGTGTGGATGCACCCTGATGTGCTACGCATTCTCCAACGCGCCTAGGCATGCTTCTGATCAGGTGGTCAATGTCCTCCTGTGGTATCTCATTCCAGGTAACCACCAACTCCTCTCGAAGTGCTTCTAGAGTCTGAGGAGGACGTTGCAATTGAGCAATCTCCTACCCATCATATCCCACACGTGCTCAATTGGGGATAAGTCGGGAGATCTTGGTGGCCATGGTAACAATGTGACATCATTATGTTGAAAGAAGTCTATTGTGACTCTTGTAACATGTGGTCGGGCATTGTCTTGTTGGAAAGTTGGATCTGCCGGGGGTGTCAAGATAGGGTAAAAGATGGGGTTCTAGAACTTCGTGGATATAACGTTGCGCGTTCATGTTACCTCTGATGAAGATTAAAGGTGACCTGGAACCATAAGCTATAGCACCCCAAACCATAACTCCAACAGTGTGATGAACATGTCTTTCAACAAAAAACTGTGGATTCCTCCTTTCACCACGTCGCCTTCTAACCCTGGCACGACCATCGTGCATGCCTAAACAAAATCGAGACTCGTCACTAAAGACAATACTGTTCCATTCCTGATCCCAGAGTGACCGTTGTCTGCACCACTCAAGGCGATTACGTCGGTGTTCTCGAGTTAAAGGGAGGACCCAGTGTGGCCGGTATGAAAACAAGCCAAAATTTCTCATTCGTCGGTAAACACTTCGCATGCCAATAGGTCTTCCGTGATCTGCAAACCATTCATTTGCAATGGACCTGGTAGTGGAGAAACGGTCCCTTAAGGCCAATAGTCTTAGGCGGCGATCTTCACGGTCTGTTGTTCTACGGCGGCGTCCAGTGCCCCTTGCTCTTTGCGTACGGCCTTCTCGAAGGCATGCCTGACAACACCTAACCACAGTGTCTACACTTCTTTGCACTCTAACTGCAATTGCCCGAAAAGAAAGTCCAGCTTCCCGAAGTCCCACTATACGGCCCCTATCAAACTCGCTAAGTTGACGAAATCGTACAGGTCTCCGTACTCTAGGCATCGTAACCGATCGTAGAGGATGTCAAGAACCAAAATCCGCCAACGTTGATTCGTTACTGCGGCTGAAATATTCATTTTTAGAGCGTTAGTGAATTAAAAAACAGCAGTATAAAAACCGGAATGTCCAACTGATAAGGCTGAAAATTTTTTCACTTGTTATTTACAGTAAGATAAATACATTCACCAACTTTTATTAAAATAAAACCATTTAAACTGGGTGTTCGGATTTATATGTCATTTAGTATAGTTTATTTTTATGTTGGGGTAGAACACAGATGCGTCCAATTTACTAATAAAAGACAAATCGATCAAAACGCAGCAAGATATGACTCTGTTTAACAATTAATAGTCACTTAGAGTTATGACGTCAACATTGGAGAGATATTTTAGACGACAGTTTAGCTACTCGTCAGTCATACTCACTCTACAGTGAAACATCCGTGCCATGGTGAAACATTTGGGAAATTATTTCCTGTGCATTGGGATAATTGCGGTTTCAGTTGAATCGCATCCAATTTCCTCGTGAATAGTTCCAGACAGCAATGGTGCAAAGTTTTAAGCCCATACAACTTCTGACCTTAACCGTAGCGATTTCCGACGCAGACATAACGAGCTCAACATTAGCGGAGTTAACACTAATCGGAAGAGTTTTGTTTGGTTTGTAGCGGGCCTGTTGATGTATGTTGGGTTTTGTTAGGATCAAATGTCGAGGACAGAGTGTTTAGTGTTCTACTTTATGATATGCTGAATTCACAAGGGAGCATTTCTGCACCAAATTTATCTAGAAAGGTTCATAAAAATATGTATCCTTAAATGACTCATTATTAAATAAATATATAAATTAATAAATAAGTAATGAATAAATAAATAAATATACATCGAAAGATACAAAAATGGTATTCTGATAATAGATAAGACGCTAAGCTAGCATTGACTGGAATATATGTACTTATGAATTCTAGTACTTGGAAGGCAGTCTCTGGAATAATGTTGACCAAAAATTGTAATACATATACCCTCGTATCCTACTTCGTTTTTACTGAACGACGAAGACTGTTAAAATCAAATCAACTTTGATCGTTGCTAGTTAATGATATTCTGTCATTATGAACATGCTTGGCAGGTTGCTGTTATATTCTCTTTTCCGTTTTTTCAAACTGTGCGACTCTGCACCTTGGAAATCACACTTGTTATGATACAGGTTTATATGAACATCTCTCTCTCTGTCTTTCAGTT